TGAGCAGACATTCTTTGATCTCAATCAAAAAATTACCTCACAGGTGTTAGACACATTTTTGAAAAATTATAAAATTTCTCTTAAGAGTCATTAATTCCATTCAAGACAAAAAACTCTAAATGTTGATTGTGACAGGAATGTTTAATATCCAGATGATTTCTTGCAAGTTATTGTTATTCTCACCTGTAGTAGAACAGGTGTGATTTTCCTTTTGGAACTATTAATATTAAAAACAGGATTTGGTAATGTGTTTCTATCTAGTGATTTGCTTAGTTGGCTTTCAGTTTTGAGCAATGTTTTTCTTTTTTTATAAATTACTTTTCTTTTTTGTTTAGTGGATATACAGACGCACTATATATATATATATATATATATATATAAAATGAAAAACAGACCACTTTAAGGTACCATTACAATAATTTATTTCATCAAAATCCTTTTTAAAGGATTTCGGATCATCAGGTAACACTTCCAACAATGAAATGAGAGGTTGAGTTTACACATTGTATTTACTCTATTTACATGTTTTAAAAACTTGTATCTTCAATTTAGGTATTGTAAAAAGCAATGTCAAAGATGATCAATAATGGCTTTTGTATAAGTAACATCCATTTATATATCATCCATTTAGCCTAGACATGTATTCTAATGATCAAAGATGATCATGTTTTTTAATAATTTTGTTTTGGATTGAACCTTAAAAAAGAAGTCATGGTTTAAATAGTTTCATAAAAAAATGATTCAGTAATTTCAGAGCATTAAACATATGACAAATATACAGATGTTAATAAATTGTTTTTTCTCAAGTTATGAAACAATGTCTAAAATATAACTAACAAGAAAAAAACATTGTAATTAAGGGCTCATAAATGTACCTAACTTAATACATCAATAGCAATTTTAAGTATCATTTATTTTTATATAGTGTTATTTCAAATTTTTATATATCTGATTGCAACTTATTGCCAAGCAATAGGATTGGCACTTGCAGAAATACTTGGCTTTATTGTTCATTGATAAATGTGGTTAGTTTTGACAGATAAAAAAAAAAACCTAACATGACAGTTTTTTCTCAAGACTAAACAGGCGGTGTCAGTTAATAAGAGAGAAGAAACTCCAATATATTTATACTAAAGTATGTGATGTCATGATTGGCATATTTATATCATAATGGACCTTATGTCTTTTTTTATCTAACCATATCAAACTTGAGTGTGAGTTTAGCAACTCCATTCTTTGGAAACCTAGCATGGTGAGGTTGTGGATTGTTTGATATTAAATCTGATGAAAATGTATTTAGCAAGGGTGAGTATATCTCATCATCTTAATACAAATGCAAGATAAGCTCAACCGATTGTCATAAACATATACTAGAATATGCCATGTCAGAGATGATTATTGATGCGATAACTTTGCCAAAAACCCATAATTCTTTTCTTTTTACAGATAGCAGTCATGCAGCAAAATTGTACGATATAAAGTGCACACAAGGTAGGAGTGTATCATTCCTCCATACAGAAAATACTGCACACATTGACAATCATTAACATCTGGAGACCAAACAGTGGATATGAGCACAGTGAGTAATGCATTTCAAAGGTAGCGACAATGATATGTATGAAAAGCCATGTTCAGGACAATAAAAGATAAATTTGTTCCTGTGAGAAAATAGAAAAATAGTGCTTTGTTGAAAATTTGTTTTATCCACTGATATGCTCCTTGTATCAATTATTGTTTCCATAGAAATTAATAAGAGGCATTACTTTTGAAACATCATTGTAACTTTTCTTTTATGAAAAAGCAAAACAACAAATTATAAAATGCATAATTAAAGATGTTTCTCAAGATGGTCAGCAAGTTTGTCTTGTTGACCAGTTTGCTTGCAAAGTGAGTTCCCCAATATTGTAGCCTTGTGCCAGTTTATGCTAACCTTTTAAAAAAAACTTTGACCTGGACCAATGACATCAGCAGTTGATCTTCAAACCAAGATTTTAACTGTTTTATTTTCAAGGCAGACCCTCCTCAGAGTGATGCAATGCATTTTTTTTATCCATTTCCCTTAATTTGGACTTTTACTGAACTAAGATAGGCCCAGTAAAGATAAAGAGAATAAAAACACTTTTTATTCAAAATCAAGAAAAGTTATTATCATCAAGTGTTGAGTAAAAATGAAAATTAATGGCAAAGAAAAAATTATAAAAGAAGGATGACAAATTAAGCATAGTTGCCTTTAAAACAGGTCACTGGAAAATGTTATATTTATTTTTTCATTTAATAAAAAGAAGATAGTTTATTGTGAAGAGGCTCCTTGCCTCCTTCCATTATTTCTGATGTTTATTCAGTTTTATCAAAACAGAACAAAATGATTATTCAGCCTGGAAATTCAATAAGGTATTCTAAATTTAAGTGTAAAAGAGAAAGCAAACAATATTTTCATAGCAGTAAATACTGTAGGTAAATTTTAATTAATTTGCTCAGAATATATTGAACACATGAAATCTTACAAGATTTGCTATTACAAATACAAAATGATCACATGTTTGATATTTCATTGAATAGTTCATTTCAGATTTGTCTTTTATAAATAAAATGGCAAAATGTGAAGAGAAAACTTTTAAATTACTTATTGTAAAACCATGCAATTTTTTTAAATTATAGATTTTTTAATATACATATAAGTCCAGAAGAAACGCTGTCCCAATTTTTGAAATGTTTAAATATATTAAATATATTCAAGTTTTAGACATGAATATTTTGTGAAAGTTCTGAATTCATAAAGTAATGTATATTACAAAAGAAGATTCTGATTCTATGTCCATCATGCTTTGTCTGCTTGTGATTTTGCATATGGGTATGCTGGTGTTCTGCTTGAATGACTTATATGTATTTCAAACACATGCATATACACACAATTTTGACAGAGTTTGGAATAATACATTCCCCCTCCCATTCATTCTAAATGAGCAAAAAAATTATAAAGTTGAAAAAAAATGTATCAACAGCTTAATTGCTATCAAGCTGTCTCTTTGATTAAATGTATACATGGCATTGAAATTAAAAAAAAATCAGCTTTTCTTTCTTCTACCTACAGTGAGAAAACTTTAGCATACTATCAATAATTATTTCATTGATATAGACAGACATGAATAGATTGATATCAATCTGTTTGTCTATATCAGTCTATTCCTATCTATTATATATCAGAATTAGTTTATTCAAACATACTTATTGGTACCTAGAAATCTGACAGTACAGAGATGGCTACAAAGTAAATATTCAGTTTATTAAAGCAAATTTAGGTTAAATTAAAAAAAAAATTAATGGCCACAAAAAGTAAATTCATATAAAAATGGCACAAATGAATTGAGAGGTAAAAATGGCATGACTAATTTCTTGGCAAAAAGCCACTAATTCCCCTATCCACCACAAAAGAAAAAAATCAGATAATTCTAAGTTTTTATTGAACTTTCAGAAATTATTTGGTAACAAATAAAATTATTTTTTAATTTTGTAGAAATATTTTTGGGTCTGTCATTGAATTAAAACATCCACTTGTACAAGCAAATGTACATACACACACACAATTTGAATGGAATTGAAATAACAGAAAAAGAGTATAAACTGAAATTTGTGGCTGTTAGAAGTCATTTTATGATTCCTGTATTTAAATGGAATATATTTTCTAATAAATGTCTTTCCATAAGTAACATTGCTTAGGAAATTGTTTTGTTTTGATATTACAACAATAAAGATCTTTTAAATACATAGATACAATAGAATGTGTGGGCAGAGTAACTGTTAGTGGCATCTGTTATATTCATATTCACACTAATACTCTTGGGGAAAGGCATGAACTATCTCTTCTCTCCATCTGCTATGGGTTAAATAGCAGGACAGACTGGCTTTTCTAGTGTAGAAGAACAGCTCCAAATTCCAAACTCTGGAGAAGGAAACAGGAAACTACTCTACTATCTTACCCAAGAAGTCATGATAATTCAGATATTAAAAAGCGAAAAGCTGTTGGGAGCCATGAATGGCTACATTCTGAATGGATATGATATAGAATAAACACATACAATATGCAAAAGTAAAAGAAAATACATATATACAATAAAAATTGTTTGGTTTTGAAAATTAGAAGTATTGCTTGTTAACTTTTCCACTCAAAATCAAATTTATAATTATAAAAGTGAAAAAAAGGAAATACTGTTGTCTAATAAGATTTTTTTATCTCTTTCAATTTCAGAAAAGATACAAAAATCAAACACTTAATGCATGAAATCTTTAAAAGATGAAAACTTTTAGTGATATGTTCAAAAACAACCAGAGTTGAAATATTGCATGTTTAATGAACATAGAAATGTTTCAGCCTCTCAAGAGCAATAAAGCTCCAAACGATAAAGGCTTAAAATAACTGTATGCAGAGTTAAAAAAAAAAAAAAAAAAAAATGTAATAACTAACAATATAACAAATACAGATTTATATAATAAAGAAAAATGTTCATTGCTAGAACTAGGTCATTATGTATATTGCATATATAATAAAATTTAACAACATTTAAGAACAACTGACAAGTTTTATTTTTAACTTTACATTAGATTTCTCACACATGATGACAGGATAAAATTTCAGCAATGAAACAAGAATCAATTCTCTAGACATATCTCAATTATCTTTAGACAAAAAATGTGCAATAATTTCTCTGTAATTGCATAATAGGATAATAAATTCCAAAGAATTTCATTATCAAGACAAATTTCCTGAGTTAAGAGTTTGCTTTTATCCATTCATTCATTTAAAAATTTTCTTTTGGTCAACTCTCATAACAGATATTGAAGGCCTTGGGAAATTCATGTCAAACATAAATGCCTAGAGAAAACTCTAGAAATATAAACATTCATTCAATTATTAAATAATATTTTTCAATTGTAGAAATGTTTGTATTGTATCATCAGTTACATCTTGTGGTCCCAGAATGTGCCAATATCAAGGCTGATGGCTAATGTTGTCTATAACGAAAGTAAGCAACACCAACAGAAAGTAAAACAACAGCCAAACTACCAGCTATTACAGGCCACTTCCATCGCTGAAAATAAAATAAAATAAAATTAATAATACATATTCACAGTTAAAAGAAGAATATGGACAGTTGATAAAAATGGAAAATTTTAAGTGCATTTTCATATTTTTTAGTTTTATTCTTTAAATTATACATCATATTCAACATATTTTTATCATTTATGATAAATTTATCATAAAATAAAACTACTGACAAAAACTGAATACTAAAAAACAAAACTTATAACATCACATGGTATTGCAAATTTTGATTAAATACAACTTCAAAATCTATGAAAGCGGACAACTGTCATTTAAATTTTTGTTTTGATGTTTGTAATAGTAACAATTATAAAAATTACCTTTTCATAAGAGAATATCATTTAAAAGGCTAAACTTTTGAAAATAAATGATTAAAAAGCATGAAATAACAATTTTGATGCTAGAATGCCATACAGAAATTGAGAAGCAGTTGAAATATAAACAAAATAGTGTTTTGGTATATTATTACAAATTTTTCAATATATTGTAATAAAAATGTATTTATTTATATTTTTGTTCTGAAATGTTATAGCCTGCATTGTAAAACAAATATGAATTTAAGATTAAATGTATACAGATATATTGGAGTTATAACCATATTTTGTAATTAAAATTGCAATATCTTTCAGAAATCAATGAATAAATACTGGAGTTCCATTAAATTTCATTAATTAGTTAAATTTTAGTACAATTTTCAATGCAAGTGTATTTTGAGACAAAAAGTTTCCACTTGATTTTCAACATTATTTTACTACAAATGTAGATAGAAATTTCAAACAAAAAAGAAGTCTTGATTCTATATGTCAAAATTCTTTTCTAGTTCTTCTATTCCATGATATAAATTCTATGAAAATTGATTGAATAATTGTTTGAAAACACTTAACACTTCTGCAATGAATCTTCATGGCCCTGTTGAAATTTGTTTCATCTGACAGCAGTTAGCAATTTGTTTGTTATTATATGAATGGTAATTGACTAATTTCATTTAATTACATATCTATGTTTTCCTTCAATTAATAAAAATAATTATAATAATTTAGTGATTATTTTAACCCTATTTTAAGAATGAAAATATTCAAGAGACACAATGTAAGTATTTGCAGGATGCATAAAAAGTAGATTTGATTTAGGATTTTTTATTTTATGATCTCACTTTTGGTCCTTAACTCAACAACTATCTGTATTATCATTCTTCTTGGTTGTGAAACAAGGATTATCAATTTTTTATGGGTAAGAATTCTTTTTGTTAAAATTAATTTTTCCATAAAGCCTCTTTTAATAATCATTAGCAAATATGCAATACATAATCTACACTGCTGATGTAAAGAAGAATATCTTCAGTCTAACTTTATAACAAAATATATGTAATGTTTTCCAATGTCATGAGACTGCTTGTGGAGATTCTGTGATTTACTCACTTAATAATAAATCTTATATATAAAGTACAGTGTATGTGTGTGTGTGTGAGTGTCTGTCCAAGCAACTCCTCTGCTACAACTGGTTTGATTTCAATGATTCGTAGTTCATTCAAAAGCCCTAGAAAAGCTAGGCATATGGAATGATCTCAGATTCAGGGTTGTCAGATTATGCAAGGTTAAAATATATATATTAATATATTATACTAGCCATTATCATTGCTTTCATGGTTCAAGGGGAGTAACTTATTTTCCTTTTGTATTAAAAAATGCAGTGCACATTTTATTATAAACTAGCTTATACGTTTTATTATAAACTAGCTTAAAAGCCACCCTATTGGGTGGCATTTAAGCTAGCTCCTGTAGAGGACTCTTGGTTTGGCCATCATCACAATAGTTAAGGAGGAGGGAGTAGGTGTGATTGGTATCAATAAACTACAGAAGAACTCAAAATTGATCACTGCATTTAAGTATTGAATTAATGTTTAAGTTTACCTTTTAAAAGTTCAAAAATAATTCTTCTGCTGCTACTTAATTTAAAGATGATTTGATGTACATAGATCCTTATTTTCCATACAAATAATTATTTTTATTTCATAGATGACAGAACAGGGGACAATTTATAAGATAAAATTAATATAGTGTAAAGATGGGAAAATAGAAGTTAGAATTAGTTATACATTCAACATTTGAAGAGTTAGAGAAACAATAGCTAATTAAGTAAAACCTATATTATAGAATCTATAAGAATAAATGCAAAATTGGAGCTCAATTCTCCCACAAATTCTGAGATTAAAAAGCCCCAGCTTTACTTTATATTAGGTATTTACTTCATCCCTAATGTAGTGGGGTTGTGACACAAGGTTGGTTTAATGTGGGGAGCCCGAGCACGTACACCCAGGTTATGAACAAAAATTCTCCAAGCCCCTGTAACTATCAGTTGTGCTGGCCTTGGTTCCCAGGGCTGGGCACCTATCAGTATAATTTTCCTCAGTTGTGACTGTCCTTTGATGGAGCCGCATCTGAGCGCACTCTGCCCAAAGACAGAAAAGCAACTGAGAGATGATAAATAAACATGTTACAAACTACTTTATAGTAATTTACACATGGTATTTACTCTGTCTCCCCACTAAGATGAGATTAGACACAAAGTCAGTTTTTAAGGTGGTGACCCGAGCATGTACACCCGGGCTAGGAACCAAAGAGAGAGACACAATTGAGAGATGACAAATAATGTGTTACAAACTACTCGAGAGTAATTTTTATTTACTCACAATTGAGAGATGATAAATAAACTTATTACAAACTACTCATCAGCAATTTACACACTAAAACGCTCAATATCTGTATTATATATTATCTACTTCTAGGCAATATCACTCTTCAGGTTTAACTAATTTGCAAATTGATTTTAAAAAAGTTTATTTCATTAATTAACTGTCCTTCATTACTGTTCTTTTTTTCAAGGATTGTTTTGATTTTCATATCAAAAAATAGTTCTGTTTAGGAATATCATCTTATAAAGTGCAGAAAAGTGTTTGAAATTTGCATTTTACTTGCTCTTAAACAAGTTGCCATCTAATTGTAAAACTTTCCTTAACTATAACAAGCCAATTTATGAATGAAATGTTCATTTAAAATTTTTGTTTCAAAGATTTCAAGTAGTGAATATATCTTACTTTGTGAAGTGATAGCAAGTGAGAAAAGCCTGCTAGTAAATATATAAAGGGTAAAATTACATGCTTCAAAAAATAATTTTTTAGCCAGAAATTGCTCTACAAAATAGTAGTATCTTAAATATGAATTTTGATACACTAAAGCTATAGTGGAATTTTACAACCAGTTGATAAGCAGAAATATTTTTGTCTAATATTTATGAGACAATATAATATTGTGACTAACCATTTACTAAAAAGAAGTTTTCACTATAACAGATCAAATCAGATTTGGTGCTCCAGTCAAGGACTGAATCAGAAATTCTTTTATTAAAACAACAAGTTTAAAATAACCCTTGAGTCACAATTTTATCTTCATAGTAAGGAGTAATCATTTTCTCTATGCCATATGAAAGACAATTTTATTATAATCAGTTAACCAATAAATTGAATGGACAAGAGAAACCAATACTTTTATAACTGTCACTATACTACTGAACAATTTAGAACTTTACTGGATATGGTTTTAGATTTTAGAGTAATGTAGACAGTTCCTCAATATTGCTAGCTATCTGGTATATATATATATATATATATATATATATATACACACACACATTAAGAAATTAACCAGCAACTAGTATTATATGAAACACTGACAAGTTACACTATAACTAAAGACTGTACTTACCGAATGTTCCACAGAAGGTTTGACAGGTGTTTTAGTAGTTCTGAACATCTTTTTGTACATATTACGTTCAGACTGGGTCTCTTTGGTTAGCTTTTTCGTGAGTTTTGATAACTCTTGATGAATTATCTGCAAATAAATTTTGTGTAGAGTTACCAACTATATAGCATATGATTTTAACAAAACCTTTTTTATGAATTAAAAAAGTATATCCTACAGGTTGTTAAACAAAATTGTCAATTTTATTTTAAGTTTGATATTTTTACCATTTTCAAAAACAGTATTTTTTGGCATTTCATTTTTAAAAGTTACATTATTTAGTGATTATTCAGTGAATATTGAATGTATTCAATTATTTTTATTATGGTTTTAAGCAAAAAATGGATAACATTTTAACTTATAATTCTTATATTTTAGACTTGTATGATTTAAAACTGGACTATAATAGAACCTGCAAAAAATATAAATTCCATATTGTTGGTGAACAAATGAATATTTTGGTTTAAAAAGAAATAAAAATGTTTAAGTAAAATTGTTAATTTCCTGTTGAACAACCTGATACAAAAAATACCTTTGTTTCAGGTTCTAATTTTAGTGCTTTTTTCATTTGCATAATTGCTTCTTTTGTTTCCCCTTTAGCAGCATATGCCTGAAATAAATGATTAAGAAATTAGTATGAGAAATGGTTCACAATTTTTTAAAAATTGATTTGTTTTGATAATTTTTTTATAATAGCTAGAAACAGTTATTGCTTAAACTTTTTAACAGGCAATTTTATCATAAAGGTACAGCAACCAATGTTTCTTTGTAGATAATGAAAAAATTAATTTTGTAGCAAAGAAGTACAAGTGACAGGTAATCATTTTTGTTTCTAAATAAAATATTATTATTAGATGGTATGTAAATAAATGAATATATAATGTAGTCTAATATCAAACAAAATAAATTTATTTTTATACACAATAATTATTGTGTAATTTTTCTCAACAACATTTTGAAAATGAAGAAATAATGTGTGCGTCATTTTACATAATTTCATAAATTTTGGTCCACTTTACCTTTCCCATTCTGAATAAGGCTTTTACATTTTCAGGATGATGTTTTAAAACTCCTTCACATGATTTAATAGCTGCATCATAATAATCTGCCTGAAAATAAGACAGCAAAAAGAAGTTCAAATGAATGTTTATTTTTTTTTTTTTTTAAATTAACATCATGACACAGAAATTCCTGTTTGGGAACTAAAATTCTTTTTTTGTTCCATTTTCAAGCAATGTTGAATAACTTCAGGAAAAAATGATTTACTTTTGTAAGTGAAGTAGTATTATATTGAGGAATTTAAATGGGAGGGGTTAATGAGATTACAAACTTTTTTATTTAGGGTGTATTTCTATTTTTGATGGATCTAAATACAGATCTGAGCTAAAAATTAGAAAAGTGAAAAAGTAGGTTAGAGGCTGTGTATGAGTATGCAATTCATGATTTTCAACCACTTGTCTATTGTGTCATGGACACATCATTTTCCCTTTTCCTGAAATAAATTTAGATCTAAATGCTTCAATTTTATCCTTAGTTAGGCAGTAGCATCTTATTTTTTTCCTCAAATCTGGGTAAAAATAGTTTTCTTCTAACTTTCATGTTTCTCAATTAAAATGAATTATTTTTAACTAATTAATAAAAAAATATTGATAAACAATGCATGCTGTAAGATAAATGATTTCATTTACAAGAAAAACTTGCTATATTCAATCATTTCTTGATGTTTTATTTGTATTAATAATATGAATATATTTTACTTACTTTCAACTGTGCAGCAGCTAAATTGTTATAACATTTAATCTTATCCTCAAGTAATTGCTGTAATTTTTTAGGAGGTTCTTCAAAAGACACATTCTCATTATCAATAATACTAATGGCCCTATAAAGAAAAAGAAAAGTTAAGAGAAAATCAAAGACCAAAACAAAATACTTTCATCTTATTAAATTGCGTATTAATAAAATAAATAAAATGCAATTTTGCCATAAAAGCTTCTGAATTTTTTTTTTTTACATTTTTCATACCTTTTTAATATTTGCCTTCAAGACAGAAAAGTAAATGGAATATTCTAAAATCTAACTTTCCTCGAGAGTCAATATGTTTGTGAAAAACATTTTGATTGTTATGAAGAAATAGGCTACTAGAATGTTATTTATCAATAATCTTAATTTTTTTATACTAAAAAAATTAACTGCACTTTTTTCAGAAAGATACAAATATGAAAATTACAAAATGTCTAAATAACAAAGAAATTTAAAAGAATTATATTACAAGATGAAACAAAAATATCTTGTTTTAATATTAAAAGTGCTTAAGAGTTGTACAGCTATTAATTACACTCATATCATTTTTTCAATCTTAGAAAATAATCAGACTATTTTGAACATGATCAATGATGAAGAATTATCAGTCAAATATATTTACTTTAAGTAAGAGTTAATAGCACCACGGTAGTCACTCCTAGAAAACAAATAATTGCCCCGTTCCTTTTTTAAAGATCTGAAAGAAAAAATATATAAGAATAAATAATCTATTCATAATCAAACAAAACAGGATATTTTCAATAATCCCATGGGTTTTAGGGTTTAAGCAAACACTAACTATAAAGAAATGCTTTTTAAATGAAAAATAATGATGATTAATTATTTCTTTTATTTAAATATGTATGCTAACCTATGAAAAAAAATACAATTTGCAATTACAATTTCTATATTTGTAGCACAATATCATTTCTATTTCACATTAGTTAAAAACCATATGAACATTTGCAATGTATATGTTCAAAGAAATGAACAATACATTATCTGTATATCAATAAGTAAATAACTATATATAAAAATGAATACAATCTTAATCTTTAAAATACATTGAGACAATTCAAGAATATGTAACTATGGAAACAAAAGACAAATGAGCAATTACTTGCTATTACAATCCAAGAAATATACCCAATAACAGTCCAAATTTAAAATATAAATAGTTTATTATTATACACTAAGGTTGATGTGAAGTCAAAGTTTAACATTAGTCAGTCGCTAAGCTTGTCTTTGTCCCATGTTATTCTCAGTGACGAGTTATATAGGTTTTCTCTTGCACTTATGCAAATTAGGCATATTAATTTGCCAGTGTCACTACATCTCCCTGAAACGTATAGGTTTTATACCTCTAGTAGTTCTTGTACTTTTTCTCATGATAGTTTCATTACTTTGCTCTACTTCTCTCTCTCCCGTATTTCTTTTTCTGGGAGACCTAGATCTGTCCTGCGTTACGCTGTAATCATAGGCATCTTCTTGCATTATTTGATCTTTGTCTGAACTTTCAAACTCATTCTGTCCCACTTAATCCTGCATTATTTCATCTTCTGATGTTCCATTCTGTAACGGTTGTTCTAATAAATCATTAACGGACGGAATCGTAGACATTTCCTCATCATTTTGCTCTTCATATTCACCCTGGATCCTTATTTGATCTGCATGGGCTAATACACTGTTGCCGTTTTCTCTATTTGTTATAGCTGTATTGTGGCTTTTTTGCGTGATAAATTCTGCCCTTTCCAGATTTGCTTCTTTGTACCACATTTTTTTCATTTGTGGAATATGACATCGTTAGTGGAGCTCTAATTTGTCTTCCCATTAAAGCTGATGGGCTTTCTAGTCTTCCAGCGTGTGGTATTGTGCGATAGCTTAAAAGCAGCCTCGGTAGAAAAACTTCTACTTTTTTTTTTGCTGAGAGCATGCTTTTAGTCCCATTTTTATGGTTTGCACCATTCCTTCCGTTAACCCGTTTGACTGAGGGTGATATGGGGGTGTCTTATACGCTTTACATCCTATTTTTTCTAACCATAAATTAAGATCTTCATCACAAAATTCTGGTGCGTTGTCAGATACCAGGGTTTTTTTGGTGTGCCGTTTCTGGAAAATATGACCCTTAGAATCTGTTTTATCGAGAACTTTTCTTGTCTGGCACCTGGATTATTTCAGACCAGCCTGAAAAGAGTCTACTAGAATTAATAAGAGTCCCCTCAGTAATATACGCATGATCCATATGCACCCCGACTCCATGGCTCCACTTCTCTGGGCCATGAATGTAAAAGTAGTCTGTGTAAAGTTTCTTAATTCTTTACATTTTTTGCACCTTTTTATATATTCTTGACATCTCTTGAATATCCCGGCCACCATGCTTCTAATTTTATCCTTTTTTGTGTGGCTGCTACTCCACAGTGTATATCATGTACACTTTTTATTACCAATTTTCTGGGGGAACTACCAGATCCCCATTACAAATCACTCCATGTTCTATCGTTAATTTCTGTCTTAGTTCTTTGTAGGGTCTTTCCGCCCTAGAACAATTTCCCCATGAGTTTTTTCTTATTCTCGATATTATCCTACTTAGTACTGGATCATGTCTAGTTTCCGCAGCCATTTTATCTAAAGAAAAAACATCAGTCTCTATCCAATATAAGAATGCATCTTCAAATTCTTCTTCTGTTTTATCTTTTGACTCCTTGTAAAATCGCAATTTTGATAGTAAATCTACATGTGGAATTGAATTCCCTTTGACATATTCTATATCAAAGTCAAATGCCATCAATCTTATTGCCCATCTTAGTATCCTCGATGTCGTGACTTTGGGTAATTCTTTCCTTGGGTTAAATATAAACTCTAATGATCTATGATCATTTCTTAACAGAATTTTTTTTCCAATTAAAAATTGTCAGGCTCTAGTAGTTGTCCACACAATAGCCAATGCTTCTTTATCTATATTTGAATAAATTAAATTCGGTATTCGTTAGTCTTCTTGATAAATACATTATCAGATGTCCTTCTTGTGATAATGTTCCCGATATCGAATGTTCGCTTGCATCTGTGGTTAATGTAATGTCCTTTTTTGGATCAAACATTTTCACTACTGGCTTCTTTGCCATAATTACTTTTAATCTATCAAAAGCTTTTTGTTGTTCCTCTGACCAAATAAATTCAACATTCTTTTTTCTTAAATTTGCAAATGGTTCAGTCAAGTCCGTGTATTTTGGTAAATATCGCCTGTAAAAATTCACCAATCCCAAAAAAGACTCCAGTTCTTTTTTATTTGTAGGTGTAGCTACTTTTAGTATTTTTTCTATCAAGGCTTGGTCTGGTGATATACCTTCTTTTGAAATGGAATAACCTAAAAAAGATATTTTACTACAATTGCTTATGCATTTTTTCTCATTTATTGTCATTCCAGCATTTCTTAATCTATTCAAGATTATGTCGGTTTTCTTTTTTAATTAATTTTCATTAGTAGCTCCTATGCATATATCGTCTTGGTAACAAATCATATTTTTCATATTTTCTAAAACATGTTCGATGGCCCTTTGAAATATGGCACTTGCAGTTTTTATTCCATATGGCATCCTTTTCCATCTTAGTAACCCTATTGGCGTATTTATCATGGTTACTTCTTTCAAGTTATCGTCTATTGGTATTTGGTGGTATGCCGTTTTTAAATCTATTTTTGTAAAAACGCTCATTCCTGCCAGTGCATGTAATGCAACTTCAACATTTGGTATAGGATATGAATCCGAACAAACTTTGTGATTTACGCTTATTTTGTAATCTCCACAAATACGTAAATCACCATCTGTCTTCCACAAAACTCCAATGGGTGATGCACACTTGCTACCCCCAGGGGGAACATGTTCAAGAAGGTCTTGTTCTATTAATTTTCGTAGTTTTTATTTACTACTAATGGCAACAAATGTACTGGTAATTTTGTGCCTCATAATAAGAGGGGAGACATTTTCTTTTAATTTTAAACTCGCTTTATAGTTTTTTAACTTTCCGGTTTTTTCCATTTTTATCTCATTAATTAATTTGGTAGAATTTATGTTAAGCACGTCGTTTCCAAGAAGTCCATGGTTCTTTTTACAACTTGTGACAATTATAGGTATTACTTCAAATTTATCTTCTAACTCCAAGGAACCTTCAAAGTATCCTAAGGTTTTTATGACTGACCCATCAAATTGGCGGAGTTGTAAACTGCTCTTTTGTAAAAGTGGCTTTCCAAAGCGTTCCCCAAAATTTTTTGGTATCAGTGTTACTTCACTCCCAGTATCCATTTGCATATCTAAATTGCAGTTGTTGATTTTAACCTTTAGTATAATGTCTTTTTTCTTTTGTTCAATTTTTTCTATATTCTTATTTTTTTAATGTGAAGACTTCCATATTGGTTTCATTTTCTTCAACTCTTTCAACGTTTTTCTTTTTGAATTTGCATACTGCTTGAAAGTGGTTCTTTTTTAAGCAATTTGTACAGGTTTTTCCAAATGCTGGGCATTTTTCCCTGTTTATTTTGTGTTCATGTCCACAATACGAACATTTTCTTATCTTTTTAACATGTACATATCAGCGAATATTTGTTTGCTGGATTGACTTTTATGATGGTTGTATTTCTGTATTAATTCTTGTTGCTGGATAAAGTCAATGCATGTATTTAAAGACATATTTCCTATTTGTAATTGTTCCATTATTTTATATCGGTGTGATGCATTGCACATACCTTCAATTAACCTTAATTGAATCAAGTCCTCTTCAATAGTATGTTCGTCTTGTCCGAGTTTTTCAAATTCACAATATCTACTCGCATTTCGTAGACGGTGTAGATATTTTATAATTGGTTTGTCAATTTCTTGTTTCATCGACATAAACTTCGTTCTTTCTGCCACTACCAGCCTTTTCCTGGGTTTCATATTTCTCCTTATAATCTGACTTATTTTTTTGAAAGTCAGGTCTTCCAAGTTTGTGGGATGTGCCATGGTGGAGACTTTCATTATCACCTCGCATCCAGCTGTAGCCAAAAATAAATCCATAATTTCATTTTCGCCTCCCTTCTCTTTGTTGTCTTTCAGCTTTTTAATTCTTGCACTGGCAGAAAAACAGCGAATCCATGCATCCACAAAATCTGAATCTTCTAGAGACAAATGGGATCCTATTGGTGTTGCCATTGATGTGAAGTCAAAGTGTAGCATTAGTCAGTCGCTAAGCTTGCCTTCCTCCTACGTTATTCTCAGTGACGAGTTACATAGGCTTTCTCTTGCACTTATGCAAATTAGGCATATTAATTTGCTAGTGTCATTACAAAGGTTATAAGTATAATCATATTAATTACAAATTATTTAAAAAAGGAAAGTAAAAAAACCTTAATAAAATATGTCAAGTGGTCTTAGAACTTACCCATGGTAAATTCTTTCATCAATCGACATAAAATTATAATCTGGTCCATCTTCTTTACCTATGAGTGCAAGTGTGTATGTAATTGTTGCATTTCCAGGAATTTCTGGGGATCTATAATAAATAGAAAATGAAAGTAAATTCAAGCGTCATTAAATAAATTGTTTAAAGGAATTTATACATTCAATTGTATTTAATAGCACATATAGAGTAGATTTTGCTTTATCTGATATTTTTTAAATGATTTTTATAATTCTATTAATAAATGAAATTTTGAGAAATTAAATTGTGTCCCATTTCATATTTATATTAGTTAAAAGCATGACTCCTTGGATAATGTAAATCATCAATTTTTTTTAAAACATTAACTACCAAAAATCTGTTCTGAATTGTAAAATAAAAAATGCAATAAAACTAAGACATTATTTAATTAGAAAAGCTTTTAATTGTTTTTATGAATAAGATATTATGGACACTATTGTTTTAAGAACCAATTTTTTTCAATGAATTTTTACAATAATAATTTATAAAGTTTTAAATCTTTTAAATTTCTGTATTAATTTGTATGGGTTAAGTGATATTGTTATTAAATTATATTTACTAATTGTAAATTGAAAAGCTTAGTACAAATCATATTTAAAATTTAATAAAACATTACATTACAGAGAATATTTTCTTAAATTTTTAAGATTACTGTGTACTTAAGAATTATATATAAAATTCTTATATAAAAAAGGTGCTCACATTAATTCAATTACTTTTTTAATGCCTAAAGCCCCCATAGAACAACAGTAGGTAAACATTAATCTGTCATCAAGCTCTCAACCTATGAACACCTTATATAATAATATGTACAGTCTGGTTATAAATGTATTTTTCTTGATATTTTAAATTTAAAGTAAATAATATTTGTTGTAAATAAGATTAATTATACTTTAAATCAGCTAATATTCCTCAAATAAAGTTTCAGAAAAGTATATTTTATTTTTGGAAAATTTTTTAATAAAGAGAATTACATTGCAATGAATGAAAACAGGTGCTAATCAGCTATTTTCACTAAAAAAAAAAAAATAAATAAATAAATATATATATATATATATAGAAGAAATTCTTTCCAGTCAATTTAAATTAGTTTTTGAAATACAGCAAATTATTATGCTTATTGGAAATATTAAATTTAGTCTATTAATTTGAAATTAAAAATAAAATAAATGCTTCAAGAAAGATTTTAGATTTTTAAAAATTCATTTTAAAACTTAGGTATTGTTTTATTTGGTGGTACCTAGATTAATTACTGAGTTTCTTTGCATTACAAATTTATTGGTTATTTTCTTTTTCATATTACAAAATGTGATGTTTATATTTTTTGAATTTATATATTATATGTAAAAAATTAAATTACACTGCTTTTAATTGTTGAAGAAATATTGCAAGCAATTTCAAAAATTTACACATTCATCTGAAATATGATCTACTATTTTATAATTACAATCAAATATTTTATATAAATAGTAGATAATATTTGACAGAAAGATGAATGTAAATTTTTGAAATTGCTTGCAATATTTCTTCAACAATTAAAAGCAGTGTAATCTAATTTTTTACATATAATGCCAAATCAAACTAAAAATCAATATGAGGAAAACCTACCAGAAATAATAACCTAATAGAGAAATTAGCTTTGTCAACTCAGAGAGGATCATAGCCATATAAATATAAAATATTTTATATATGAATATAAAAACCTAAATTAAGAATTGTTTCCCTTTAATTTTGAGGCTGTCTTTATAACATAGATTGATAAGGTCTTGTCACATTTTTTACATGATCATTTTTAGGGTACTTTTTCAATACTTACGGTAAAATAACCATTAATTTTTTACATTCCAATGTTTTTTTTTCTTTGAAAATTACTTAATCTCAAAGTGGGTAGCTTTTTTAACGATTTTACTCATTTGAAATCAGTTTAGATGAGATCAAACACTGTACAAATTCAAAAAGGGCTTTAAAATCTGTCTATGGATATAAAGCATTGTGTCCAAATATACCAATGATGAATTGGTCAGTTTCGATCAGGAGATTTTTCTCTTGACAATTCTCCTTGATCTGTAAATATTGAACTTCTGTAAACCATAGTTGAGGAAAATCTATCTTTTGGTTTACACTCCTCTTTGGTCTTTTCAATAGGAATAGAGATTTATCCCTTGTTTCCTGTTTAGGATTAGGTTTCCATTTCTTCCTAAAGTCTTTTCATTCTCTTTTGATCCCAGTAGCCCCTTGCATCTTAGTGGCAGTATCACCTTGCTTGGTGGGGAGGATGGATTGATTAAAAAAAACAGTTCAAGATAAACTATAATCATAAAACACCTTCATGAACACAGAAAAGACCAAAGAAATATTTGTTTCTTTTCCATCTTCAAATGCAACAGGACTTTCTTCCCAACTTAATCTTAAACTGAAAAGCGAACACTAATCAGATTTCAGGTCACTAAAACCTGAATAGTAATGTTATAAACAAATAATAAAGATAAAACCACCCAAAATCAGTGAGTATTTAAAGAAGCAATGATTTCAAATGTCCTCATACCTTCCTAAAGAGCCATAAGCATATTTAGCATCACATCTCAATTCAGCAATTTCATTTTCATCCATCAAAGCAACTGCAATATCCCAAGCTGTATAACGAGAGTAAAAGAGAAAAAAAGGTTAATGTCTTCTTAAATTCTTGTAATTATATTGAATATTTTATTCATAAAATAATTTTTCTTTTAAGAAAAAATAATGAAACTCTTTTGTAACATTTCACTAGCTGTAATAAAAACTTCAATTCTTAATAGAAATCAGTTCTTTTCAGATTCAAAGCAAACATGGAAACTAAATATCAAACACAAAATACAGATATGGCATTAGAAAATATTATTGCCAATTTCTCTAGTCTTAGTCATTGTTTGTAGCAATCATTTGTGTTAAAAATTTTTTTAAATTTATGGATTATATCCACTTTCATCCAAGTTGGGTGAAAAATAGAAAATTACAGTCAAGTTATATTCCAAAACTAAGAAATAGTTTTAAGGCCATAATTTCATATTTGTTATACAAGATCTTCAAAAGAGTGATAATATTAGATTTTATTCCTTCAAAGAAACGGAAAATGCAGATAAAATATAAAAAGGATTAACATTTACTGTAAGCTAGAATATCTTTATACGTGGATATTAAAAGATAGCTATTTATCTAAATTCAAATTCTGATGTCTTAGACTATTTAATTTTACATTATATTATCATAGAAAATGCAGTCATACATATAACAATAGTATAGCTATACCAAGACATATATATGAATATTTTCTTTAAAGTTCAGTTTGTCTAATTTATCAACAAGTACATAGTGTTTATTTTAAATATTTTTGACAATGAGAACAAGTGATAAAATCTCACCAGAAATAACATCTCCATCTCCAACAACAAATTCAATTCTGTCATTTTTGTCAATAATGGTCCCATTTTCTAATTTGCCTTCAGTTTTCAATGCAACACGCTGACCATGTGTGGGTCGTGTCATATGACCATTGCCTGCTTTAAGCACCTGGAACAATAAGGAAATAAATTAGAATTTTAACTAAAATGGATATATTTCAATTTCTTTTCATCACAACTAACTACAATATTGTCAATTTATTAAAAATGATCAGTTAACATTTTATTTTAATAATCTATTAATAGATTAACCTTAATAAACCTTAATTAACATATTTTTAAACATTAAATATGCATTAAAACAACATTAACAAAATGTTTTGTCATACAAATAGCTGCATTCATTTAAATTCCTTAGAGAAAGAATACTATAGTAGCTGGAGTTATTATAAGCCTTTTATTTGTTTACTTCGCCACTGTATAAAAATGATGATAACAAGTGAAAATAGTTGAGATGATAGAACATGTTAGTCTTAGGGAGATTTCTGGACATAATTCAAATTGAAATATATTTCAACCAATGCCTACTAAAACTACACTGTAAATTACTTTATACACATTAACATCAAAAGTAAATAAAAGTATTAAAAGGAATTTAAAAGAATATTTACATTACTTGTATTTGTATCCTTCAAGATAAAACTGAATTTAATTAGAAAATAATATTATAGTTAAATTTGTTTTCAAATGAAATAAAGTTACCTAAGATATGAAGTTTTAAAATATAACAGCTGTATTTAAAGAGAAGATGAATTAATTCTTTCAGCCCTAGCATAGTTATTTCAATTATATACTAAAATTATATTGAATGATGTGATTATTACCTGGAAAAAATGCAAGACATAGTTCATCAGAAACTACTAAAATTGGTCAACATATCTTGGTTAAATTATAAAACATGGCTTATCATATATACTGATTGGTATATCATTTATACCAACAGTTTCAAATACATTTTCTTAGTGAATTTCTTCAGGTTAACAGAGGGTCTGCCATAGAGCAGTGTGGGTTTAACATGTCACAATGGATTTGTTCCTTGCCAGAAATTCAGGAATGTTGGCATCATTTATCAAATTAATGCACTTCTCAGGGTGTAAATGTAAAGTTTCACTTACTTTTGTACATCTTAATTTTTAATTAATATTTTTATTTTGACTTGATAAAAGTCTTGAAAGTGGTTGTGATTCATTTAATAAAGGTTTTTCTTAATGAATATAATTAAGATTTGTTTATTATCTGGTAAAAAAGAGACAATTTTTAAAAAATATTATCTTAGGGGTTCACTTACTTTTGTGCAGCACTACATACCAAGAAGATATATGTTAATAATACCAGTTGTTAATTTCTGCAAATATTTCCATTTGTTTTGTTACATAAAAATACTGTGGGGACATTTTTGTTACCCTCCCCTCAAATATTTGTGTTTAAAAAAAAAATTGCATCTAAAAAGTAATGCTTATGAAAGGTTTCATTAATATGAAAATACTAAAATAAAATGGTTTGTACAAAAGTTAAATTGGCTAGAAAAAGTTAAATTACAATGAATCTCTTACTAAAAAAATGTAATTTTTAATAAAAATATATATATATATTGCCAAAAAAAAAATGTAACACATCATATATAATATCTACATACTGGCTGCTGAATCATCATTGGAATTAAATTTATCTATTTAACATATCATCAGAGTCAATAATGGCATTTAAGACCTCCTATACATTCATAAAGCTAAAGATGTTTGAATTTTAAAGTTCAATCATCAATAAATTTTTTTTAAATCACAAAATTAATCACTACTTTTGAACAACACCGCTAATTCATGAAACCGGTGATGTTGCTAAAGTTGATTCAATAGTGTATACTCCTCTATAACCAGTTAGTATTATCAGATTTGGTCATAAACAAATGAACATGTTTAGTTGGCCACACCAGTCTGTCTGGAAATGGTTTAGCATTACTTAAGTCTAAAATAAAATAAAAGATTTTAAAGTAAATTAATTAAAACAAACCCTTTTTAATAGAAGTCCATTTCCCAAAATATCCATTAGCTCCTCTGGTTCTTTTACATCTTCTTCCTTGAAGGTCTTTGGTAAATTTTTCAAACTCTCATCAGCTTCTTGATTGACTTCAGTTTTCAATGGTGCAATTTCCCCCACAGAAGATTTGGGTTCTTCATTTAAAATTGCATTTTCTTCTGGTTCTAATGGAAACACTTTTTCATCTCTATTTAATTCACTTGCTGTATCAGTCTTTTTGTCAATGTTTATGTCATTTACTGAATTAATTACAACTGGATCACTGTTTACCCTGTTTTCATGTATTACATTATTACTGAGTTCATGATTATCACATTCAGCATGTTCTTTATGGGCAGTTCCATTCAAAAGAACTTTGCTCTCAGTTAAATGAGTCTCTTCATGATCAATCTGGGTTTCATTTTGTTCAATGACATTTTTCAAGGTGTCAGAATCCACTTGGTTTGCATCCATTTTAGCAGATTCAAGTATGGCAGCTGAAGACGTTTCTGAATGTGTAGACTGCATTACACAAGATTCAGTCTGTAATGAAGGAGAACAAATAAAACATTTTAAAAAATATACAACATACAAAAATTTATATATATATATATATATATAATAAATTAATCCAAATAAATAAATAAACAAGCCACTCCTGCTAAAATAACCATTAGAATGGACTACCCACAATGCACCACTGACCCACATATATAAATAGTCGAGAAAAAACCAACACATGTGGCTTGATGATTGTGTCGAGTCAGTCAACATGCAGTCTCTGACTGTGTGTGACTTCTGTCGAACTCTCTGCTTTGGCAGAGAGGAACCTGGAGGAAGCTTTGCCGACTTCAATGTTCACTATATATAATATAATGTTATATTTTTCTTATTAAATCAATTTCCAGATGGTAACAGAAAATAAAACTTTACTATTACAGACTGATATTCTATCATAGAAGATAACTTTATCTTAACCAAAAGCATTTTTGTTCATGTATGTTGTATAGTTAAACATTCTTTATAGTTTAGCTTCTGTATTTTCTTCTAGACTACGATTATTTCATAAGAGGATAAATAATTGATAAATGGACTAACCCTATAAATTTTCTTGTGTAATAATTACCTTTCATAAACATTTGTCATTATCATGTTAGAGCTTTCTTTTTTCAAAGTTATCAGAAAAATAGTCAAGATCTAATTTACAGCCACCTCCTACAATGTACCAGTAAACATTCCCTGTAGATTTAAGATTTGAAAAATCAATTTTATAGCATCATCTTTTTATTTTTTTGGTAAAACAAAATAATTTTCAACTGAACCACAAAAAACAACAACTTGATCTTTCTGGGACATCATTGTGAAAAAAAAATTATCTAAATAATCCTAACATACAATTAAATTGTATATTAAAAAAAAAATAAAAAAAACAAATCAAAACGTGGTTTTTAAAAACCTGATACTGAACGTTTTGTTTTCTATTGACAGAGTATTGAATTACAATGCAAATGTTTAGTTTATAAAAAGAAAATGATGTCACATCTAAAAATCTGAAAATCACATCTTTTTTCTCAAAATGAGTAAAAAAAAAAAAAGGAAATAAATAATAACAATTTTCAAATTTAGATTTAAAAGGATGATTGTTTTCCTCAAGTTTTCTCGATGCAAATGACTTTTTTTTTACTTTCACTTTTGAGTGGAAAGCGCTTTTACACGTACGACAACGAAAGAGACTAAAAAAAAAAAAAGGCTTAAACTTTAAGCCGTTGATCAGATAACAATAAAAAGTTTTATTAAAGTAAGTAAAACGATAGGATGCTATAAATATCGGCTGATGGGCGACTTGGTGTGGTGTCACCGTAGTGAACTGACAGTGCAAGTACTACTGTAAATAAATTCGATCTCCACAGATTTCCCCGAGGAGAACTTGTCTAGAAATAACCCTTGCTTAACAAAATAAATATAGATAAACATTTTAAAAGAAAAATCATAAAGTTAAGTGTTTAATTTTTTTTTTAAACTGTCCACACCCACAAAAATACCGTTTCTTTCATACATCATTATATTTTTTATTCCAGTTTCACTTTAAATTTACAGTACACTATTGAAATATTAATCAATTTGATAGGATAGAAATGTTCACGTTACGAATTTTGTTATAATGTTGAACAGCAAAAACAAGATAACACTTATTTAGCGGGGCCTATGTGTGAACATTTTCAAACCACTACTTAATTCATCAGAAATATTTTTCTTCAATTGTGTTGGATTTTTTCTAATCAATAATTAAAAGAAAGAAGAAAAAGGTTTATCTTATGTAAGAAAATAGTTAAAGACCGAGACAAAAAGTAGTTAATCGAAAACAAGAGATTTATTTCGATTATTGAATATCGATTGATAGTAGGTAGGACAATTAACACCAGCTCTTCGTGAGTGCACAAATGCAAAAATCAAAGCAGAAAGACAAACTCAAAAATACAAAGTTTTTTTTTTTACATTGAGAAGGTTAAAGACAAAATTTTCAGTAACCAAAATTAAAATAAGTGATGTTTATTATGCAATTTACGGATTAAATACAATTTATTATTCAAGGTGACCGTCAAAAAGCGGAATTGTTATATTCAATAATTATTGACATAAATCAAACACAGTTAAAATTACAATAAATTGATTTATAAAATCCATCCTTAATGAATGATTTGTTATGAGAATGTTTAAAATGTGGCTTTGCATGTAGAATTTTTTTTGCATCATTTTTTTTTTTAATGATCACGAGATTTTCCTTCTAATCTAAAGTCAAGAAAATTACTCAAGAATTTTGAGAGTGAAGAAACAAGACATACTCAGGAGCGAATCAATGGTCATTGGTAGATGTAGAAAATTCAACTCAATCACCTCATCAAAAACGTTCTGAAGAGGTCTGAGGGTGTCCAAAAAGTACGTGTGGTGTTAAAAAAAAAAAATTAGTAAAAAAACTATAAGCACTTATAAGCAGTAATTTACAAAAGAAGAAACTTAAAACTGGAGATAAATTATTTGACCATATCTCATATTAACAATAGTCATACACCTTACAAATTACACAAAAACAAAACGAATACCAAAGAATTGTACCATTTACCTAGAGTCCAAAATAAAAAAGACTTGTTAAAATTACCAACATTCAACACGTAAAAATTTATCAGTACTATTTGACCCGGTGCAACTGAAATAAAACCCTCGGTAAATTAGAAGGTTCTAATTCATATATTGAATTATTCTTTCTACTACGCGCATAATACTTTTTAGGAATACGAATTTAAGGAAATAGTAAGTAAAGGTTAGCTACATTTATTCTCTAAATTCTAAAGCTTTTTTAACTGACAACTTTATTTTTTGCATTTTTCTGGAACATTCTTCTACAACAGACTCTATTTTTTCAGTAAATAAGTATAATTTATAAGCAGACTTATGTAAGAGGAAGTGATATTTAAGATGCATAAAGCAAAAGTGGCTTTGTTTTTGAAAACACTAAAAACAATTCTTCCGGGTATTGTCCTGTGATAAATTTCAAGCAAGAACTTGTTATTTGAAACACCGTTATAGGAGGTTACAACGTTACAAAATAGTGGGTTTAGTTAGAAGCTTATGAATTTATTTTAGTTTAATTTTTAGTTTTAAATAAATCAGTGACTAATTTTAGTGTGTCGGCTTGAAAAAAAAGTAATTTGTATTGTGTAACAACGTAAGTATCATTTGATAACATTATTTAATAACACTGAGAGTCAATGCATGTGAATACTTTCACTTTAGTTTAGAACGCATTATTACTTACTGTCACTGTTCTTTTCCAGGAAAATGCGAAAAAAACTCAATGGATCCGAAAAGAGAAAAATCAATATGTAATTTATTTTATGAAATGATTTTTATAGAAACAAATAACACTATTTTGAAAATTATTTTTGTTCCATCCCTCCCTTCCAGCGAAAGAGAATAATTAATAAAAGTGAAGCAATTTAAAAAGAAAAAAAATTAAGTCCCAGTAACGAACCAAATTCTGCAATTTTTGTACTGTAGACTTAATTTTTTAAAACGATGCAAGAAGTGAAATTAAAATATTTGTAAAAGTTTACACTTATAGACAAACTAAAAATAAAAGGATAGTATTTTGCTTTATCGTTTGCCACAATTAATAACATTATTTAAATTCATAAAATATTTACCGACGCAATGTTTTTTTTGCGCCGGTCACTGTTCTGCTCCTAAAAACATTTCAGCCATTTTTACAAGTTCTTTTGCTTGTCAAATTATAAAAAGACATAACTTGCATGTCTTATTTTTAAAATGAAAATTTTATTTTTAGTGTACAATTTAATTTACCAAACAAACTATAATCCAAAAGCAGAATATAAATGCAAATTTTATTATTACACAATCAGATATTTTCTTTTCTACTACTAACTTTAAGCTCTTACTTAGTAATCTTTCAGAAAATGATAAATAATAAGGATTCATTTTTTTTTTATTCCATTGCAGAATAATGTCTGAAGAAAATTGGTCTCCCATTGCCCATGTGTATGATCCTTTAATGGCAGGAAGTATTGATGGCACAGATGAAGTAGCTCATGATCATGGAATTGTTCGAGCTATGAACAGTAAATACAAACCCAATAAAAAAGTTGTAGGACATTCAGCAAAAACTATTTTTGCTGCTAGACTCAATCCAAAAACTGATGAAAATGCTCTAAGGAGATTGTTCTCGGAATATGGGGAGATAAAGAGACTGCGTCTTGTTCGAGATATTGTGACAGGCTTTTCTCGAGGTTATGGATTTATTGAATATGAAGATGAATACTCAGCTCGTAAAGCCTTTGTACAAGCTAACAAAACTCTTTTGGATGGCTCAGAAATATTTGTTGATTATGAACGAGAACGGATTTTGAAAAATTGGGTCCCACGTCGATTAGGCGGTGGATTTGGAGGAAATAAGGAATCTGGGCAGTTGCGCTTTGGTGGCAGAGACCGTCCTTTTAAGAAGCCTATTATTGTGG